ATATTTATATATTTTTACTTCGAATTCACTCGTCTTTTCTTAGTTAGTTCCTTATATTTTTGAGCTATTTACGTTATTTTTGTGTTTTTAGGATTTGTTATGCAAAGAAAATAAAAATAACACAAATGAGTTTTAAATAATAAACAAAAACAAGGAATAAAAAATTCAAGACAGCAGGGCAACAAAACAAGTGGTTGCACTTTTAAGTGCTCCACTTGAGAAATATAATGATATTGTCACAGCCTTGAAGCTTACAAATTATCCTCGTGTCCTGGAATTTCTTGATAGTGGAACAAATAAAGTCATGGCTACTGTTATAATTCAGAGCATTATGAAAAATACAACTCATGTTTTAACTGCTGAGAAGGTATGGTTAACTCATTGAGAGTCCTTTTCTCCGAGTTTGCTTCTTAATGACATGGAATGCTATTTTTATAGGTTGAGGCATTATTTGAATTAATAAAAGGACTTATTGAGGATTTTGATGGGCCTCTTAATGATGAGGTTGATAAAGAGGATGGAACATGGAATGGCAAAAACAAAAGAAAAGAAAGAAGTTGATGGGAGACACGGACAGCACAAGCAGAGAAAGAAGAATAAGAAAATAAAGTTGATGGGAGACATGGAGTAATGGGAAAGAATAAAGAAGTGGACGACAATACAATAAAGAGGGGAGCGGAGCTTCCCTGGCAGGGGGGATTGGAAGGAGGCCTCGGGGAGGATACAAGCTGCCTTTGGCAGCGTGGAAGTGCGGAAAGGGTAGAGCAGCACGGAAGACGGAAGAGGAGAGAGAAGCAGCTTAGCTGCCCTTGCAGCTTTGAAAAAGACTGGCAGCACGCAGAGGAGAGGAGGCTGCTTTGAGCGCAGGAAACGGGCAGATTGGCACTGCGCAGAATGGGGGGAGCGCAGGAAGCGCATGTCAGGACGTGGGGACAGTGAGAAGTGGGAAGGAGAGAAACCGAGAGTCTGTTGGGCGCGGGAGAGAGGAAAGAAGGCTGCCTTTTGGGCAGCGTGTGAGACCAGTGAGGAGAGGGAGACTGACAGAAACTGGCGCATGAGAAGGCACGGGCAGACTGGCGAGGAACGAAGAGGACTGCGCAGAGCACAAAGCAGAGGCTTCACTCTATTCTTCTCGGTTAAATCTTTCCAAACTTATATTTTACTTTTAGTTTAATTTGATAATAATGTGTAACTAAATTTATTTTGGCTAGAGGTTAATTCAAAGCCATGAATATATTTGTAATATGAATTGATTACCTTCAGTTGTGATTTCTGAGTTGTGATTTAATTTGCTTAACTGCTTGATTGATAGCTTATTTTTGTATGTCGATTAAGAATGCATACTTAATTAACATGCATGAATTTGACGCTAGAATATAAGAGAGTTTCACCTAATCGTTATGAACTTATATTCACAAGTAGTGAAGGTTGCTAATCACAATCACGTTAAGTAAATTCTTGGCATAAGTTTCATGCAAATCATAGTAACGAGTGCCTCATCAATGCTTATGTTTTTCATAGAACTTAATGATTCTTGCTTGTATCTCTATTATGCAATTCATGTAGGGAACTTGTAGGGAATGTTTTGGGTTGTCGTATGCAATCATCCAACCCAATAACTTGTGGAAAAACTGAGGGTTAATTAGTGCAATTCACGGTTAATTTGGGGCGTTGAGATTTACAATTTATTGAAAGAACAACTGAAAATCAATTTAGGTTGCATATGTGTCATGTGTGGAGAAGAACCCTCTAGCTAGTCCGTCACCTATCCTTTCACCTTAATTTCATGTTTTTGTCAATTCTGTAATTTATTTAAGTTTAATTTACTTCTCGTCAAAACCAAACCCCCCCATTATTAAATTATATTATTTAGTTAGTTTTCATTGTTGTTAGTCTTTTAATTAAATTTCCGTCCATTGCAGTTCCTAGTGTCTAATTTGATTGTTTCCATTATTTTGAGTCATTCTACGTGTGTTTCGAGTTATTAGAGTTTTTAGCCTAGTTTGTGTCCTTGAGTCTTGTTTAATATTTTTTAATTAATTTAGAATAGATTAGCAATCCCTCCTAATCCCCGGCCTAGAACGATACCCTACTTACATCTATACTACAATTGTCAAAAAGAGGGTTTAATTTGTGTGTCAAGTATTTTACGCATCAACAGCTCCCGTCAAAATCTCTACACGAGGCAAGGCGATTCAAGCCGAAGCTTTTCGTAATCAAGAGATGCGTAGACGTACTTTGAAGGAGCTCGAGGAGAAGACTTATTTATTCCCCGACTCTGATGTGGTTGCCATGTTGAAAGACTTGCTTGACAAAAAGGTGATCGACCTACCTGAGTGCAGACGACCGGAAGAGATGAATCATACTGATAGTCCAAGGTACTGTAAATTCCACCGTTTCATCAGTCATCCAACGGAAAAGTGCTTCGTACTGAAAAATCTCATCCTGAAGCTAGCACAACAAGGGAAAATCGAGCTTGACCTCGAAGACACGGTTGCCGCACACACTACTATTATCGTGTTTGGATCACTCGATCCTGTGCATCTCCGAAGCATGCATGACCATTCCCGTTAATGTTCAAGTCACACAGCACCTCCTACACAACCATTACCGGAGGCAAGCAACCAAGATGCATCTACTGGTGATAAGGAAGGGTGGACATCGATGACCTACAAAAAAATGAGGAAGCCAAGACCACAAGCCACAAGGCCAAAAGAGGAGCCTAAACCCGCCCCTCGAACTTCAGTCTTCGACAGGCTGAATCATTCAAAATCTAGAATTTTGGCACTTGATCGCATCAGTGGTCGAGACCGAACTTCCGTCTTCAAAAGGGTTAAGACGCCAACATTGCAAAGATCTGTCTTTGAAAGGTTATCAAAACCCAAGAAACAAAGTGGCACAGCTAGATCTCCTCCGCAACGGTCGGCTGCGGACAGACTTGAAGAAACTAAGAAGCCTTCTAAAAACAGGAAGACAACGCCAAAGGAAGAAAAGCTCGACAGTCTAACAGGAAAAGACGATGTTCAAAGCTTGATTCCTTCAAGGATGAAGCGCCAAGCAGCTTTGGAGGTCGACACAAAAGGACCACTGAAGGTAAGGAGGCGCACCATCACCTACACCGGCCAATCTTCACGCCAACAAACCCAAAAGGACCGCACTGAAGAGGAGGCCCAAGAAGACAAAAAAGACGAAATCCCGGAAGAAGACGTCACTTCCGGCTTTGTCAACTCAAAATCTTCACCTCAATCGTTGGGGGCATGCTTCAAAACCATGCCAGTCAAGCTAAGTGAAGTTGAAGGATGGATTCACGTCACTCCGAAGAAACTGCACAAGAAGCATATGACTTCTTCATAAGTTCACCCATCGGAAAGGGGGCAAAGCAACTTTCGCCAACCTCCAAAGCAATGTGAAAGTGTTGAAGATGAGGAAAATTCGACACAAAGATCGACCATGCGTGATCTCTCCTTCTTCAGAAAATTATTCAGCTACTCGGTCAAGGCTCCTTGCTATAAAGATTGCGAGGAACACCTCTCCAGGCAGCAACCATCTATTCCACTAGTTCACCAATGGGAAAGGGGGCAAAGCAGCTCCTGTCAACCTCCAGAACAATGTGAAAGTGTTGGAGATAATGAAACTTTGACACGAAGATCATCCATCCCCATCATGATGTGTGACATCTTCCCAGAAGACTTCTTCAACTACTCAGTCAAGGCTCCTGGCTATGAAGATTGCGAGGAACAACTCTCCCAGATCGCTTGACGAACCACCAATGCTCCTTGTTCGCACGAGCCTAAACTGCATGAACCAAAGCTCCTTGTCTGCACGAGCCTAAACTGTAGGACACGAGGCTCCTCGCCTACACGAGCCTAAACTGCATGGCACTAAGCTCCTGGTCTGCACGAGCATAAAAGGCAACACCAAAGCTCCTCGCCTGCACGAGCCTAAACTACACACGACACCAAATGCTCCTTGCCTGCACGAGTTAAAACTGCAAATAGCACCAAAATGCTCCTGGCCTGCAAGAGCATAAACTGCGCACGGCACCAAAAAAAAATGTATTTGAACTATGTTATGACTTGGTCTCTTCTTTGGAGGGGTACGTAGGCAGCTCAAACAATCACATAAAAAAAAGTTTTAATGAAAGTCAATTTCATTACAAAAAAAAATAAATAAATGTTTCATTGATGAAGGTCAATTTTATTACAAATTTATTTTGTTAAAAAAAAAAAATTGCAATTTTCTTTGTACACAATTAAATTACAATTTCTTCAAAAAAAGAAAATGAATACATTTGTTATTATGTATTTACCAAAAAATAAAAAAAAATACAGATTCCTTTTATATACATACATACATATATATATATATATGACCTCTATCCAGCCAACCCATCAAAAGGAGGTCATCCAAACCCAAGTGGCAGTGACCAAGCCCAAGCCTATTGTCCAAATCTAGCTCCAAGAAGAAGACCCAAGTCCACCAGCTACAAATCCAGGCCCGGCTCTCAAAGCCCATCCTCACTCGGCTCCAAGCCTTAATCTCAGCCGGTCTCTCCTGCTCATCGTCAACAGTTGCAAGACCACCTCAGGTCAGGGCCAGAACCACGGCCTCGATCCCTTCTTCTTTCCACTCTAACTGGACCTAGAGACTCTTCACCCAAAATCTCAAATACGGGAATGTCCTCGTGAGAGATATCCCTAACCTCGTCGACCGGAGATTCTTGAAACCCTTACAATGACGGTGGAGCTGATGAACTTCCCGAAGATGGAGGATCAGAAAGCTATGCCCGGTTTCGACGCGGTCCGACTTAATCGGTTCAGCCCGTCCACTTCTCTTCTTCTCACCCCTCACCTTCACAAACACTGATCTTAGCTCCGGCTCTAAATCTTTCTCCGACTCTAAATCTTACTTCGACTCCGGTGTCGATTCCGGTAACTGCTCCTGCGGTTGTTTAGCAGGCTTCGATCGAGTTGAGTTTCGGCTAATCACAGCCGCACAACATGACGCTCGACTTCACGAGGCCTAATGCCTTCACCTCGAACTCGAAGAGCGCGGAGATTGAATTCGCAAAGGATAACTTCAGCGTCTCATTAGGCTCGTCGTTCATGTCGTCGACGATCACTGGAGATGGTAACGTTTCGAACGGGAAGCTAGGATTGTCGTTCTTCTTGGCTCCCGCTCCGACCGTGTCCGGTGCGAAGCCTCCTCTCTCAATGGCGCCATTTAAGAAGAGGTGTCATGAGCACGACCACTTCGACGACACGTCATGCAAGTTTTCCACCTCAGGATCTGATTCCGGTTCCGACAAGTGCCATTGCTCCAAAAGAAGGAAAAATCAGGTGAAGAAAATGATTCACGTGCCGGCGATTAGTTTAAAAATCGTCGATATTCCACCGGACGAGTATTCCTGGAGAAAGTACGGTCAGAAGCCTGATAAGCTCATATTTATATATATTTTACATAAAATTCACTTGTCTTTTCTTAGTTAGTTCCTTATATTTTTGGGCTATTTACTATGTTTTTGTGTTTTGTGTGATTTATCAAGCAAAGAAAAGAAAAGTAGCACAAGTGAATTATTAAGTAACAAATTCGTCAAAACTGCCTGTGCAGATTATCTTCCTTTGGAAGCATGTTACGAACAGCTCAGAATGAATGGGAGAATGAGCCTTATATGCGTGGAAAGCTACGGATGTCTATTTGCTGGAGCAATTTACGGATTGTTAATCTCATTTTTCTAGAAGAAGTTATGGGCATTGTAACACTGAAAGGTCAGAAAAGGGCTAAGCAGATTTGGCTAATAAAAAGAGAAAGGCAACACATGGGCAAAGGAAACACACACACATGGGCAGAAAATGGGTGGATTGTTGGCTGAAATAATGAAGAACATGTGTCTGCAAATGCAAAGGAAAAACACACACACATGGGCAAATGAAACACACACACATGGGTAGGAATTGTGGGTGTTTGGTGGTTGAAATGATGAAGCATGTGTGTGTAAATGTAAAGGAAAACATGGCAGAAAATGTGTGTGTTTGGTGGTTGAAATGATGAAGCATGTGTGTGTAAATGTAAAGGGGAAACATGACAACTCACACCCACACAAGATGCACATGCAAAGGAAATGGAGTGGTCCTCTCTCAAGCCTATAAATACCACCTCCCATATTCATCAACATAACAGATTTTCTCCTTGCTTTGGCCGAAACTTCCCACCACCATTCTCTCTAATTTCAGCCAAAAACCACCCCTAGCCACACCACCCATCAATCCTAAACCTTTCCATACCATTCCCCATCCATTCTACACCATAAAAACCACCCAAAACCGTCCAAAACCTCTAGTGCCGCTGCTTGCAAGGAAGGAAAGAGAAGGAACATCTTGTGCCATGCCTATGCCCAAGCCTTGGGAGTGTTGGAGCGTTTCTAGGTGTTTTCTATCTTTGATTTCAATGTTTAAATTAAGTTATCTTTGTGTAATTGCGAGTATGAGGAACTAAACTCCCCTTGGCTAGGGGGGATTCAAAACCATGTTTATGCTTGCTATATTTGATTTGATTACTCCAATTGCGTTTCATGAATTGTGAATTTAATTTACTTATCTCTATGAATTAAAACTAATTTGTGTATGTTGGTTGAGAGTGCACGCTTAATTTTCATGCATAAGTTTGATGCTAGGATATAAGGAAGTTTCACCTAATCGTTATGAACTTATATTCATAAGTAGTAAAGGTTGTTGATCACAATCGTGTTAAGTAAATTCTTGGCATACGTTTCATGCAATTCATAGTAACGAGTGCCTCGTCAATGCTTATGTTTTTTCATAGAACTTAATGATTCTTGCGTGTATCTCTATTATGCAATTCATGTAGGGAACTTGTAGGGAATGTTTTGGGTTGTCGTATGCAATCATCCAACCTAATAACTTGTGGAAAAACTGAGGGTTAATTAGTGCAATTCACGGTTAATTTGGGGCGTTGAGTATTCATGGTTTGTCGAAGAGCAATTGGAAATCATTTTGTATGCAAGTATAACATGTGTGGAGAAGAACCCCTTAGCTAGCTTCTCATCCATTCAATTTGATCAATCTCGTTTTAAAACCTATTTTGTTTTACAAAGTTCTTGTTTTGTTTTCAAATTCGTCTAAAATCAATCCCCCTTTATTTTGTTGAGTCATATTAGTTAGAAATCAATTTAGTTTGTGTTTTTAAGTGTCTTGAGTCAAGTTATAACATATTTTCGTTCAAATTCTTCCTTAGGGTTCAAAACTGCCCAGATTGTGTTTTTAAGGCAGTTTTGAGTGTTTAGGTGCTGTTTTGAGTCTTTTGGTTTGTTTTAGTGTTTTAAAGTATAGTTTTGCATTTTTTGAGTCTAGTTTAGTGTTTTAAACTTTGTTTTTACATTTTCAAGTCAGTTTCCAAGTGATTTAGCAATCCCTCCTAATCCCCGGCCTAGAACGATCCCTACTTACATACTTTACTACAATTGATAAAAGAGGGTTTAATTTGTGTGCTTATATATTTCGCATCAAATTTTTGGCGCCGTTGCCGGGGATTAGCAACTTTGCTAATCCCCCGTTGTTTCTTTTTCATGTATTTTGTTTTACTTTTGATATTTGATTTAGTTTTCTTTCTTTGAGTTTAGGTACTAGAGAAGTAAGACATGGATTTTGCTAGCATTCAAACTCAATTGGCAAATCTTACTTCTCAATTGTCACAGTATGCCGAAAGGACCACAATGCAAAGTGTCCCTACATTTGGTGCGTCTTATAGGCAAGGATATCAAGCCAATCAATGCCCACAAAGAGATTGGAGTGATCATTCAAACTCTATGTGGTGGGAAGCTCAACAAGTTCAACATGAAGGATATTGGCAGCCATATGAGGAGTTCTATTCAGGACCTATGCAGCCACCACAACCTCATATACAATATGCCCAATCAAACTCAGACTCGTCAATAGATTACAATCAAATTCTTAATGAATTAAACTCTATGGTGCAGGGCTTACAACAAGAAGAATATCTGCCACCATCGGAGGAGTTCTATCACTGGCCATATCAACCGTCACAGTCACCACAACAATCTGTCCAATTCAATTCAGGTACGTCTTTGGATGATGATATGTTTAATAAGTTACTCACCTCTTTGAACCAGAAAGTAGAAAATGAAAACAAAGAGATACAAAATCAAGCCAAGAAGGCAAGTGAATTGGAGAAGCAACCTAGGCAAATTATGGAGTTCATGGCACAAATTCAAGAGCAGAGTGAACTCCCCAACTCAACTATTGAAAATTCGAAGGAAGATTTTGAAATCCATGATGCTATCACTTTGAGAAGTGCTATGGAGGTTGAAGCTAACCTAAAAACATCCAAACATAGCCTAGAAGTGGATGAGGAGCTGCTGATTGAGGAGGAGGAAGAAGACATACACACGGAAAGGGTAGAACAACCCTTGCCGCAGCCCCTTAAGCCCTCTAAACCACCCACCACAAGTAAGGACGTCCCAATTTCATTTCATTCTAATGTTATTCCTCCGAACGTCCCTTTTCCTCGTAGGTTTTTGATTCCCAAGAAAGAAGAGAGTGAAAAAGACATCGTGGAAGCCTTCCCAAAGGTGCAAAATGATATTCCAATTCTTGGTGCAACAAATCAAGTTCCAGATTGTGTTGAAATATTCAAAGGACCTTGTACACCAAGAAGAATGATTCAAGAGAAAGTAGTGGTTGGAGAAGATGTAGAATGCATCAAAGAGGATGTGCTTGAGACAACCATTCCTGAAGAAGTTGAATTTTATGCAATGGGACAAGTCCTAACCATCACATTCAATCTGGCCAAGTCCAATATCCCTGAAACTTTCAAAAATGTGGTGTTTGTCATTGAGTTCTTGTCAGACAAAGCAAGTAAGTCATCCTCTCCAATTTTACATACGTTTTCCACTAACTTGCTGATTTTGATGATTCAAGCACCCATACTAGAATTTACACCATTGCCGGATCACTTCAAGTATCACCTTCCATTCGAAGATCACTTCCATGGAACCTAAGGGAATGGGACGGTGTTGGAAATATGCCCTGAAAGTCAATCTTTGGAAGAAACCTTTCAGGACAAATGAATGGATGTATAGATGATTCTTATACATCAAATGGCAAAGACACGAATTAGGACTATCTCAATTAACGATATATGTCCTAAATAGTGTATCCATGGACAATGGATTGATTGAAGAAGTAATCTAATGATGTTAGACTACAGAGACCTTCTTCACATAACCATTATGTCCAAAAGGTTCCTAGTCATTGGATTGTCGGAGGGATACTGACAATGCTTAGACCGGTACATACTGTGTCTGCTTCAAATGGAAGGATGGAAAGTCTCATCCCATTCGTGTTGTGACACTAAGACAAGTATGTAGGTGCTCATTATGAGAATGAGTTCACTGAACACAATCGAACGAGAATACTTGCATGGAGGTCTACTCACATGTCAAGCAAGTAACTCAAATGGTTGGAATAATGTAATTAGTCCTTAGACCTGAGGCATCGTCGTTGTCTTGTGGTTAAGTACTTAATCTTTGATTATGTCAAACGTCACTCTATCAGAGCGTCAACGGCATAGTCGGGGTTAAGCCACTTAGTCATGAAGGCAAGTGTATGCGCAACAAGGAATCTCTAATCCTCGATAAGAGAGGAAGAATACTCTAAGATATGATTCGGGAATCTTCGGCCGAAGTATCGAGCGTATTAAAAGGAAAGCGTTCCTATACGACTCAAAAGAATCATATAAGAAGGAATAATCACATTAGGGGTTTGACATAATAAATCCATACCCTAGTAATGTGATTGAGAGTATTGTATTAGAGAAGGATCGAATTACATTGTAATTCCGACGGAATAGGTTCTCCGAATAAACTTCTACATTAGCTTGGGTAGCTATGACATATGGTTAGATGTCACTCATAGCTTGTGAGTTCTTCTAGATGATTAAATGTAGTCATCAAAGAAGAAGGTGAATTGAAATGAAGTTTCAATTCACTAAGTGATTGAATTAAATTTAATCGAGTAGATTGGTGCCAATCACCTCACTACCTTGCTAATTAGAACCTAAAAGGTTGTTCACCAATACACTATTGTAGTGAGTAATTAATGGATGATGGAAACAATTAATTGGATTAATTATGTGTTGTGATTAATTTAGAAAGTCTAAAGAAATCATAAAAGCGATAAAGATCGTTTTGGGCTTAAAGAAACGTTCGGGTTTAATTGGGCCCATTGGGCCTAAACCCATTGGGCTTTTATTCAAGCATTGGATGACTTGAAATAAATGAAAGCCCAAAGCCCAAACAACACAAAGAGGGCCGGCCACTTTAGGTAGGAAAAGGTGAGATATTTAGTCAAGTTGTTGGCTAGGTTTCTTTTGTCTATATAAGGAACTTTATAGAGATAAAGTTCATTAGGGGTTTTTTGAAGTGTTAAAACAACAAAGAGGCAAAAGAAAAATAGCTCTCTATACACTACAAAGGCCGGCCACCTTAAGGGTGTTTTTACTAACATATCTTACACCCTTTTGGTTATTCCTTCATCCTTCTCACTACACTAGTGGGTGAGGATCTTTAGAGGTTTCCTACTTTGGAAACTTGAAGAGAACCTAGGAGCACTCATTCTAACAAAGTGGAGGAGGCAAGGAGGGAAGCTAGGCTCAAGGTGTTCAAGGAACAAAGGGCTTGGAGGTGGTCCATCCTTGGTCTCAAGTCTAGATCAAGAGGTATAAGAATAAACCTTCACTTTGTTCTTCTCTATAAAATTGTTTTGATGCATTATATATAAACCTATGAACCTTGAAGGGGATTTGCATGACTATAGCTTTGATAATTTGTTATAAATGCTTCCACTGTTTTCGTATATTAAATTTTGATTTGTATATGCATGATAGTCCTTTTGAAATCCCATTCTAGAATCTCATAAATTTCCCTTCAAGTGGTATCAGAGCCAAAGGTTTATGTATAATGTGTCCTTTTGGATTTTATGCATATGGGTATTAATGTTATGTATGACATATTATTGTTTCATTCAAAGTATGTTTATCTTTTGTTTTTCAATAGTTGAAAAATGTTAGTCAAAAGTTGAGAAAGATATGTATGCAAAAGTGTTTTGTATGCATGAATGAAAAATGAGTTTAGAACTAGTTTGACATATTATTTCTTCATTTAAAAGTATGTTTGTCTTTTGTTTTTCAATGGTTGAAAAATATAAATCAAGAGTTGAAAAAGATATGCATGTAAAAAGGTGTTTTAGATGCATGAATGAAGAATAAGTCATGAACAAAATTAAGGGTTTTGAACCAAAGGGATGGCACGGTTTTGGGGGTGGTTTTGGGTTGTGTTTGTGTTTTATTGTAAACCACTCTCACATCCTTTTAAAGCTAGAAAGAAGAAACCTTGTCACTTTTGCTTTTGGGTTTGAAAAATCACCAAGAATACACAAATCTTGAAAAAGTGTTCATGGTTTTGTTCTTGGTGTTCATAGTTTGGTTTTTGATGAAAATGGTTTTAATGCATTGTTTTGTGGTTTTGGGTGATGATCATACCATCCATAACCATATCATATACTTATAAAACCCTAGACTTGACTAGGAGATTTCCATCAAACCTTTTCACCTAAGTTTTAAATGCCAAAACCAAGTGACAAGCAAAATTTTGATTTTTCTACTTTGCATTGAATTAAAGCATGTGGATGAGACTTCCCATTCCCCCATTAAGTGGCCGGCCACCCTAGTGGATTTGTCCACTTGGGGGGGTCTTTTGTAATCTTTGAAAAGTTGATATTTTATACTTTTGAGTATTTACGGTTTTACCCCTAACTTTTCATATTTACATTTAGGCCCCTACTAACTAGAAAGTTAAAATATTTGATTTTAATTTTGTTAGTTGTTTAAACTCATAATTATATTATGCCCATATGCACTAAATCAAAATGTTTATGTTGCATTCCATTATGATTATTTAAATGTGTTTAAGTAGTTTTAAAATGGGTGACTATGGACTTATGCCTTAAACGATAATTGAGCTATGAGATAAGGCGCTAAAATCAAATTGTTTGAACCTTGGGAATGTGTTTTAATTACTGTTTAATTGGACCTTGTCACGTTTGACGTTAATCTTTCTCTCCCCTTTTAGTATATGTAATTTATAGGAATTTGTACAAATCGGTTTGTAATTCTTATTACTTCTTAATCTCTATTCGTTAGTTGATTCCCTCTAGTGCTAGACTAGAGTTTCTTTAACGATTGGTAAGGAGACATAACTGAAAGAGGGTTTTGACATGAGATTAAAGATTAAATGGGTCCAATGCCCTAATTAGCAATGAATGATTGTCTTTCATTTCTAATGGCTCAATGAAAATGTTTTAATTGGATTGATAAGCACGTAATTAAATTGACACAACCTCCCCGAGTTTATATTCAACAATGATGGCTCGTTGTTGCAATAACCTTATAGTCCATGGTCATCCAAGAGCCTAAGATAACTATAAAGTCCAAATTCAAAGGAATGCAAAAACCTTAGTAGTAGTAGTTACTTCCAATATTTGAAAAATCCGTTTTTGATATTGATTTGTTTTTCTCAAAACAAATAGTGGGAGTATCATACGCTACTAAACTATAATGAATACAATTAGTAGTTATATATATCTCCAATATTTTGAAAAATGTTTTGATATTGATTTGTTTTATGAAAACAAATAGTGGGGATATCATATGCTACTAATTTCATTAACTTTGGACTAGTAGTTATAATAGGACAATTTATTTGATTGTGATTAAATAAATAAAATGATGAGACCTTAAAATCCCTCAACCAAACAATATTAAGTTGTAAGCGTAAGAGTGCTTTGAACACTTTTTCGTGGCCTTCCACCGTGGTAGGCTCCAAGCGTTTATGACTTGTACACCGCCTTCACCCTATAATGGGGAAGTGACAAAGTGCATGCTTATATTCAGGAGGAGCTTATTTAAAACATTTGATGAGGTTAAGGTAGGCAACGAGTGTGGCCAACATCGTATAATCGTGAGGTCATGCTTGAACCCCTATCTAAACCGGCATGGTGGGAAAGAACTTAACTAAGAGTAATGGTGTAACATCGTATAATCGTGAGGCATTATTCTCTAGAGGCCAAAAAGATGGGTAATCACAAGAGGTTGTTGTGAATGGGTAAGCGTACCCTCTCATTATTATTTTTGCTAGCCAACATCGTATAATCGTGAGGTGGGCTTGGTAATAGTGAGTCTCCCATAACCCGCAAGGAGCTTTCTTGGAAATCTCCCGGATTCCATTATGGGGGATATGGAATTTGCCAAAAATGGTGGGTGGTGTCATTCGGTTTAAAGACCCGAATCGTTTGACTTAATCAACAATCAATCTAATTATTTTATTTGTTTATGTATATAGATATGGTTGGAAGCACACTCGCGAAAATACTCGACAAACATTGCCTTGAGGGGCACAATTTCCCATTGTGGTATCGTAATGTCAAGATTCTCCTAACATTGGAGAAGATTGTTTACGTACTAGACAAGGCTCCACCTCACATACCTCTTAGCCCTGAGGCTACTGAGGATGAACGTGCTAAGTATGACAAGCACGTTGAGGATGATATACAAGCCAAGTGCTATTTGTTGGCTTCCATGAATGAGGAGCTACAGAGACAGCACG